CTGCAGGTTTGGTAGCACAACTGTACAGTGACCAAGTATCTGCTGCAGGTTTAGTAGCACAACTGTACAGTGACCAAGTATCTGCTGCAGGTTTGGTAGCACAACTGTACAGTGACCAAGTATCTGCTGCAGGTTTGGAAGCACAACTGTACAGTGACCAAGTATCTGCTGCTGTTTGAACTATTTTAATGGTATCAATATTTTTGTCAGGTAAACTGTGTCATTTGTAATGGAAGTTTTATACACATTTACGTGAATAACGTAATCTAGCATTATACGTTCTATCTCTTATTATGTAAAAGTGGTTAGAAATGCTTATGTTACCAGCTAGAACTAGAACTCGGCAATTTTTATATATTGTGGTTTGTTGAGCTAGGTATTTACCAAGAAAAAATTATAGAAATTATTACAGCCTTTTTTAAACATTAACGTACTGCTCACTTGTGAAAGACGGATGTAAGATAACTTAAGAAAACGTAAAAGAAGGAAATAAATAAAGAAATAGAGTTGTTTGTAGCTCACCGAGATGATCAACTTCAATCTGGATTCACGTGATACATAGAATTATTTTTTATAGATCAAAATTATGATAGGTAAAATGTAATATGTCAAATTAAAACAACGCGTTGTGGCTTCCTGCTTTTTACATGATAGAAACACTTATGCTCGGTGTAATATATACACCAAATATAAGTACATATTTACGATTTTATTGCCTAAAATTCTCTTATGTATTCTAATCAAATTTCCTTGTGGTACTTATTACGCAGCTAATTAATGGATGTAATTTCAAATTTGTTGATATTAATAGGAACTTAATAATTTGGATCAGAACATTTCATGATTTTGTCGTTATTTCACTATCAACGTAGATGCGTAATACTTGTTTTTTACTAAATTACTATAAACCTAAGATGAACTTGGATTTTAATATATTTCATGAATACTTTGGAACATTATGTCTGTATTAATAACACATTAAAAATTCCATTCCGCGGTTTCCCTTGTTCTTTTAAATAATTCAATAATTTTCTATTACTTGGAGTACAAATTGACACGCAAAATAATTCTAATTTTAGTATTAATAAACACAAATCTTAATATATATATATATATATATTTTGGGCTACTTTACATTATAATTTAATTTTTAATATCGTTACATACAATAACATTCAATGTAACCTTTACTTTTCGACCATTTCACCAAATAATGCAATTTATTTTCTGTCATCACCAAAATTATGAATTTTAGGGAGGATGAAACGTGAGGCCCAATCTATTCTAATATATATTAGTTTATATACATATAAAAAATAAAACAAAAATTTTAAAACATAATTTTTTACCAGTTTTGCATCTTCAGATGCTCTTCAAAGTAAAACCACGTGGTATTAGTGTTCTTATGTTTTATAGACTTACTCTGAAAATCATCTTTGAAGATGTAGAGCGGTACAAAATAATATTTAACTTAGTTTTGTAAGAATTTGTATTGTAGTTTATTTTGTTCTTGAAGGAAATGAACTTTAGCTTATATATATATATATACATATTGTTGTTGGTTTTTTTTTTAGCAAAAGCTACACATGGTGTTATATGAGCTTTTTTTTTTCGCCAAGGGGAATTGAACAACTGAGATTAGCGTTTAAGTCAAAAAGCTTACCGCTGATTATCGGGGACTACATATTATTACTATGAAGAAAAAGTTTACATTTTACCATAAACCAGATTGTTCTAAGTGTCATTGATTACTTATCTCAGTCATTGATGAAACATAACTTGTATAGATTAACAGGTTAGAAGAATGAAAAATATAGATCATTTGCTTGGGTAGTCAGTTTCCCACTTGGATCAGATGTGCTGTAGTACACATCAGTTACGACTGACGCTACAACGCTTGACACCTGGAACTGTATTTAGAATCTGTCTTATAATGACAAAATAGCTATCTTAAACTGGTTTCGATGAATTGAACAATACTCTGACAGACTAAACTTCAACGGTTTGTATGATAGCTTTGAAAGTTGTTTTGTTTAATACGTGATCACAGATATGTAGCACTAGAATTCCCCTGTTGTTGGTCGTTGAATGTTCATCTATATACGATACTCGTATAACTTATTCTTTTTTTTCATAGTATACATACGTGTCTTGCATTAACTTCCTTATTTACATTATCTTGTTTGGATATATTTTCAGTTTTATAACTGACGAAACATTCAGAGATATAACGAAAAATTATAACCAATTTCTTCTTATAGATTTCAATTAAATAAGAAATGAACATTTTAAAAGTCTTCCTTTCATAACTTTCACTTGGACTTGTTTATGAAAAAATAGAATACTTTTCAAGGCTTGTTTTTATAACTTGGAATTGATATTGGACTCTCTAAGTTTGGTTTATTTAGTGGAAATTAAAACGTCTTTTAAGTTTTAATTCTATAACTTGGACCTGATACTGGCTTCTAAACTTGCAGTTTTTAAGTATAAAACTTTTTCGAAGTTTTGTAATAATAACTTGAAGTTGATGGTGTTTTCCCCAGAATTTCTATACACTGGATAAACTAACTATATAGATCAATACTTTCGCAACTCATAAAATTGTAAGAGAATTTTATGTTCAACTAGCTAGACTATCTTGTTTTTCTCACAGAACTTACAAAAGATAAAGCTTTAAATCATATCAAAATTATGTTATATTAGCAAAGTAGTTAGTTGGAGCTAATTAAATAAAACGAATATTAAACATTTATTTTTATCTCAAGTCTACACAAGTTAAACCAATAATACATTTTCACAGTATAAATATATAGAAAGAGCTGGATTTATTTTAGCATTAGAGTAAAAAAGTGATTTAAGGGAAAAGAGCTGTCTTCGAAAACTATCAATTTACTAAAAGCTTGACGAATGTGATGAGTTATTTCATACATATTACTCGGCAATTATGAAAAAAAGCAAAAAAAAATCCGCATAAAGGATTGGATAAAGGTGATCATTACAGTTTAACTTTTTTCATTATTTTCCACCTGAAGCTCAAACACTTTTTTAAGAACTTAGCTTTGGTGAACATAGAATTTTGAATTAACAATGCTAATGTTTTTGTTGCTTCTTTTTTTTTTTACTTTAGGTGTTTGACTTGGATTTTACTGGCTAATAATTATGTAACGAACATCTATTTTTAATTATTTGTGTATCTGGAAAGAAACCGGTGAAATGAACAAGGAAGAAAAACGATCATATTTCAGATGTTTGACTTAAAGAGCAATAAAAATTGTTAGATCTTAAGACAAGATGACATTTATAAATAACTGAAAATCACTCTTATAACATTTTATATTCATTATTTTAAATTAATAATAACTTTGACTAAAATGAATGAAAAACTAAATTAAGTAAGTTTAAATATATCAGTCGATAAGATTGACTAAAATTATTACTATGGTTAGAGAGTCTACTGAAACTAAGAGCCTTCCAACCAATCATGTGTAAGTAATTCAATGGTACTACGTGCTACGAACTCCATCTGGTTGAGGAACCTTGATAGTTGGACGAAGTTTCGGTCTTTTTAACAAGGGCTTTTGTTTGGCTGAACAAACTGCTCACGGCAATAAATACAAACGTCGATTTTTGAGTCAAGGTTCTGCAGACAACTACAGCCCAAAAAAGTTGTATTTTAATTCTATTCCTGTTTATAACTTCTATGAAATATAACCCAAGGACTGTCCTTGAAGTTTTATATACAAATACAATATGACATATATATATATATAAATAGAGAGAAGTTAGATGATGAATCTATACTGAGTTTTGGGAAACATGATATTTTTATAACGTTTATTAAACTTTAAGTTAGTTGTCATAGCGTATGATATTTCAGTTTTTTTGTGCACTGTATTTTAATTTTATTGTTTGGGTATACAAAATAAAAACACATTTTTAAAACGAACTTTTTCGCTTGTGTGATATATCAGGACGGGTAGCTAAAGATGAATAACCGAATCAATATTTTTATCAGTAATTTTTGAAAGTGAATTATTATACATGCCCTTAAAAACACAAGTGGAACAAGGTTACGGATATTTAAGAACGAACATCATTGTTGGGTTCTTGTAATGCAAATCACGATAAGGTATTAGTTTACTTACTTGGTTACTAGCCAACGTAAACTCGTGGATAAAAATTGACCGAGTGTATTATTCGAATACTAGAAAATAAGACGTTGCTATAGTAGCCGAATGACGTCGCGGTAGACCTGTTACTGCAACATAACCCGCAGCCTTGTAAGTATGTTTTCCTTATTTATTAAAACAAATTGGCTTATAGATGAATTCACTAAAACATAACTACATTCGAGAGAGAAAGGTCAAGTTTATAAGACATTTTTAAATGATTTGGACTTCGTATTTTGTTAAAGAGTTACTGTCAGTTAGAGTAATGACGTGTTTAATAACACGGAAACAACGTGCTTTCTAAAAACATCGAAATATTTGTTTAAACTATAACTGGCAGGGTTACCAATGAAACGTAGATATGTTTTTCATTCTTCCATTTCTATGAATAGGTATAAAACAACATCAGTAAAGAGATGAACTTCAACCTCATCTACGTATATTTTACGTGGCTTGTTGATTTCTACGTTACTTTTGGTGAAAATGATATTCCAGCTGAATCTATTTTGAACTTAACAGATAACAACATTTCTCACGCCGTTTTCTACGAAAAGTCTTTATCTTCTTACTCACAGTTGAGCTCTTCTTACTGTCCAAACCCACGACAAACTGCTCCTTGTTCCTGCACTGGACCACAAGGATTCCTCTACCTTATATGTGATCAGCTAAGTGATGAAGATGAGTTGAAGCGTGTCCTAAGTACAGATTTTCCCGTGAGTGAGTTTGGAAAGTTAAGCCTTACAAACTCCAACATTCCAGTTTGGAGAGAAGGACTTTTAGAAACGGTGAGCTTTGAATATATTTATACATACAAGACTTCCCTCGTTAAGATTTATCCGCAGGCTTTTGGGCCCTCCAAAACAAGCATCAAACGTCTGGAGATTATCCATAATGATCTACATACGTTTCCTTTTAATTACGTTTCAATGTTATACAAACTTGAACAACTTATACTTTATTATAACGCAATCAGAATCATACCGGACCATGCCTTTGGCTTACATACCAAGCTCAAGGAGATAAACCTTTCTTTTAACATGATTCATTATGTCGGATCATTCGCATTCGAGAACCTTCTTGCTTTGAGAGTTCTAAATTTGCGCTATAACAAGTTATTTGTATTGAATAACTATGCTTTTGCTGTTGAACAAGTGAATCCCAATCTCTTACTGGATCTATCCAACAATTATATTATATTTGTTAGTGAAGAAACATTTAGAAATCAAGTACCGAAACTTCTGAACATTTCTAATAATCATCTCCAATCATTGAGTAAATCAAATTTTGAAAACATGCTGAAAACTATGACGACTGAAAGTTATGGAATGATAGTCACTAAAGGTAAGGTTGAATTATATTATTTCTTTATTATCGGAGTCTTAAATGGCTATAGTTGAGTAAAATAATGTTCACCAGTGCTATACAAAATTCACTGTATTTGGTCAAGAGAATTAACAAAATACCAGTACTAAATGTTATTTTATTATTTCTACAAAATCGTTATTTTATAGAATAAGTCAGTTTCTGTAACTGAAACACACCAGTTAACAATAAAATATAAATAAATAAAACGCTACAAATCACTTTTCAAACCACTAGAGCGACGGTAAGTTCTAAATCACAATAGTATCTAACATTATTTCTTTGTAAGGTAATATTTGCAAGCAGTTTGTCACCATTCTTGAATTAATCACTGAATAACTATTAAAGGGTTGTGAAAGCTGAATCCAGAAGATGCTATATAGAGCTGAATCCAGAAGATGCTATATAAAGCTAAATCCAGGAGATGCTATATAGAGCTGAATCCAGGAGATGCTATATAGGGGCTCCGTGCGTCATATTAATACGATTTTGGAGTCTCACCACGTTGTTACAATACGTCATATCTGAATAGGAAGATCTTAAGAAACTGTTAAGTAGAAGTGTGAAGGAATTTCATGCGAATACCATGAAACCTATATGATTTGGATTGAACACGCTAACTACACTTTTACTCATCCATGTGAAACCTATATTATTTGGATTGAACATGCTAACTACACTTTTACTCATCCATGTGAAACCTATGTTATCTGGGATTGAACAGCTAACTACACTTTTTACTCATCCATGTGAAACCTATATTATTTGGATTGAACATGCTAACTACACTTTTACTCATCCATGTGAAACCTATGTTATCTGGGATTGAACATGCTAACTACACTTTTACTCATCCATGTGAAACCTATGTTATCT